TTCATTAATTCGTGGAGGACTAATTCATTTAGAATAGCTTCTTGAGGGCAAAAAACATTCATAAGTTATTTTGCTTATTATATCATCCAATCAAACTCAAGACTTTATGGAGAGTACCAGAATAAATAGAGTACGTTTTGGAATGGTAAGTGATCTAAGTATGAATTGATGAAGTCCTTTCTAGATTTTCAGAATTATCACTGTTACTGCTTTCTGGCAAATGCTACTTACAATTTTGGTTTAAAATATTTGAATCATCTTCAGCAAATTAGTTAGAGGCCTAAACCATTCTGAAATGCCATATATACCAGCAAAATGTATTCACATGTCTAAAAGACCACATACTGAGATTTACTGTACTTCTAGTTTATGTAGGGAAAACTGCTATTTGAGGTATCTGATTTAAAAGTACTGGATGGAAGTAAGAAACAGCATCAAAGTTTATGGGAGGGGCTTCCCTGGTGGCGCAGTGGTTGAGAATCCGCCTGCCGATGCAGGGGACGCGGGTTCATGCCCCGGCCCAGGAGGATACCGCGTGCCGCGGAGCGGCTGGGCCCGTGGGCCGTGGCTGCTGAGCCTGCGCGTCCGGAGCCTGTGCTCCGCGGCGGGAGAGGCCACAGCAGTGAGAGGCCCGCGTGCCGCAAAAAAAAAAAGTTTATGGGAGCTTTCCGTACAAGTGCGTATTTATTCTGTATTGGACATGGGCAGAGTTATCATTTGCATAGCATCCTGTAAAGACCTTAAACTACGTGATTATATATTTACCACTAGTTGGCTTTAACAAGCCCTAATTCAAGATTGGCTGTTTTAAATAAAATTGAAAATATATGTATTTTATTTAATCATTGTTATAATAATTAAAATATTAATGTGACTTATTTAAATTATCATTCACTTACCGTCAGCATTCCTTTTATGAAGAACTACCCAATGCACTACAGAAATGCACCCTACTTTAATGAGTACAGCTTTTTAAATACAGTGGTTTTTATGTAAGAATTGTAACTTGAGCCTCAAGTCAACTGTGTGAAGGAATAGATGCTGAGGTTCCTTCTTGCACTATAGTTCTGTGGACTGGTAGTCTCTTGGCTAGGAAAGAGATTTGAGGTCCTGAGGCAGTGTTTTGCATTTTTAGAATAAAATTTATCAGTTGGGAGCTACCGTTCTCACCAATACGGACAGCCTCCCAGTATGGACACCCTCAACAGTATGGACACCCTCCCACTACCCATTCCCTGCCTCTACTTCCACTTCTCTAGCATAGCCTGATTCTGAGAGAAGAGCAAGATTTTCTCCCAGGAACTTTTATAATCTCCTTTAGAATGTGATGCAAGTTAAATTTCAGAGAATTTAGTGTAATAATGATTCAAATTTGCTTTACAGAGGAAATAAAATGAGTTCAACGGCCTTTTGAATTTTAGGGCTCATTTCAGAATCTTTGGACCACTTGTTATAGTCTATAATCATACTATCAGAGAGCCCTAACTAAATGCTGAACCTGTTGAGGGAAGGGAATCTATAGAACGTTTAGCTGACTCCTCTCATTTCATAGATAGGGAGGCAACTCGCCCAAGGCCAACAACCAAATAGAACAGCACATACAAGATGAGGATCCACATCCTTGGGCTTCTAGTCTAGTGCTCAAGCTTCATAAATGTGAGTTGTAGTGGATTGATTTAGTACTTCTTCTGGGTGTCTAAGATTATTTGTATCATAGTTATTTTATATTGAATGTTAAAGTTGTTTGAAGTATATGAGTACAATTTTATTGTTTAAAGTAAATGCCCAAATTCATGTAAAACAGTTAGTCTTTTAAAATAATACACAAGTACTAAAATAGAAATGGCTGAATTCAGGACTGATTTGGTACCAAAAACAAACAAAAAAACCCCACCCCAGTTTGACATCAAGGGGGTATTTTTCTCCAGTAAGTTATTTAATAAAAGAAACTTCTGTGGTATTGAAAGATATGTTGCTAAAGTGCTGGTTTCAATAAGTACCTCTAAAGAAGCTAAATTGTTTTCCAAAAAACGTATGTGATGACAACCCTTTATATCATATGCCTAGTTTATTTTTTCCCTTATTGTGTATATCACAGTCTTTTTTTTTTTTTTTTTTTGCGGTACGCGGGCCTCTCGCTGTTGTGGCCTTTCCCGTTGCGGAGCACAGGCTCCGGACGCGCAGGCTCAGTGGCCATGGCTCATGGGCCCAGCCGCTCCACGGCATGTGGGATCTTCCCGGACCGGGGCACGAACCTGTGTCCCCTGCATCGGCAGGCGGACTCTCAACCACTGCACCACCAGGGAAGCCCTATATCACAGTCTTTAGTGAGAGAGAGAGGGAGAGCTGGCGGGGGTGGGGGGTGGGTGGAATGGCGAGCAGTCTGTGTGTGTGTGCTATTGCCAGAGTGTACATGAAGAGAGGGGAGCAGAGCACAAATCACAGAGCTTCAAAATACCATTGGCAGTGTCTTACAGCTTTTTGGTCACCTGGTGACCATCTCAGTGCCTCACTGCCAGAATGTAGTACTAGACTCTCCACTTCGCAGTTTCTACAAAGTTAGGATTAGAACAAGGAGACTTTAAAAAAGGTAACGTGCCCAAACACTTCATATGAAAATAAATTATTTGATTTTTTGATATACTTAAATGACAAATGTAATATTTTTCTATTAAATATATCTATATATGTGCTTGTCTAGAAGTAATTGAGGGCATTGTCTTCTGTAAAACGGTGGTGGTATTGGTTTGGCACCTCTGTGTATGTAACTGTTAAAGAGTAAAGCCCCCAAAAGTATTTTCTTGATATTAGCTTTCATTTATAAACCAGAATAATTCTGAATGCTTCTAGTAATGGGAGATAACCCAAGGCAAATTTAATTTTAGATTGGGCTTTTGCTTAATGTATTATTCATAGTATTGTATTATCAGTTAAGCATATCCCTGACAATAAACTTAAAACTTAACTTTAATAGTAATATCCACCCTAATATGGGTGAGTCAGGTAGTGACCTGACATGATTTATTTTGCCTCCTTATTGTAGATAATTTTTTAATAATGGTGGGATGGAGTTATTTGCTGTTTTTCTCACCCCCCCTTTTTTTTAACACTTCACCATTTTTGCTGCATGACCTGGTTTTGCATTTTTCTGATTCTCTGTTCATCTAATTAGTATGTTCTAAAAAGACCTGGACCACTTATTGTACAGAGATGTAGCCTGTGGGTATTTAATAAGGAGCTTTCAGTGGTACATTTGCATCTTTTGCTTGGGGTCTGAATAGTGAATTACCTTTAAGATCATTAGAAGCACTGTTGAATTGTTAAAATCAAGCCACAATATTCTAATGACAGTTCAAAACTTCAGGCTTCCTATATAACCCAGGTGACCCCAGCATAATTGTATGTAGTGCAGAAGACCCCAGGATAAACTGACGATGGTTCAGCTCACCCACAGTGTAGCCTTTATATGCAGGTAGCTTTATACCCAAACAAACCAAATAGAGATGTAGTAAAAACAAATGTCTTATTCTAGTTATGTACACTCAAGTATGTGTGTGTGTGTGTGTGTGTGTGTGTGTATACATATATATAAAATGATATATTTTAATATCATAATACTAGTCCCCCAAGTATGACTTGATACTTTTTAAAAAGAGACACAGCTCCTAAGCAATATGCAGAATATGGAATGTATTTTATCAGATAACTGATCTTTTAGAAATGTAATTCCTAGAAAACTAAATGCTTAAAAGTGGAGTGTTTTGTCAGGTTCTTACCATAGACCAAGAACTAAATAGGGAGATACTTTGTTGTTCAAGGATTAAATTATAATTTATTCTTTCTCTAACCAAATATTGAGAGCTATTATTAGATACCAAGTGAGAGTCCTTAAATCTTTTCTAAAAGGCAGCTTAAAATATTTTTTAAAGCTTATGTATTTTTGTTAGTTTTTTTTGGTCATTATTATAGAATTGTAGAATTTTAAAGCTGGGAGAAAATTTAACACCTTTTTTGGTTGTTAATATTTTCACTAGTTCTCTGATCTCAAATTGATGTGCTGTTTACCTGCTACCACCAATGCCGGGGAGCTCAAAGGTAGCTGGTAACAAAACTGACTTAAATAAAGAAAAAGATAGTGATAAATTTCATGTTCTTAAATAAATGCTTTTACTTAGAGGGTATTTATAAATTCATTACCTGCCATTTAATCTTATCTGAGCTTCTCGACTGCATATGAAAACTAAATGAATATAGATATTTTGTACAACTAAATTTAGTAGATAACATATGTTAATTGATTTAAAATTTAGCAATTGTACTTCAAAACTGCCTTTCTGAAATAGCTGTTTCTTAATGGAATCTGAAGTTACTTAGTTGTGATCAATAATTTCTACTGAACAAGCTGTATATGAGTTTTAGCACAGTGCTGTGCATATAATGGGTAGTTAGTAGAAGTTTGTAGAATGAGAGTATGAATGAATGAAAGAGTATAAAGGAAAAGACTATATCTGGTACATAATGGGGCGCCTATGTACCAATAGTTAGTTGAGCCAATTAACCAGCTAGTTATGTTTTCCAGAGGGTGTTACTTCCAATAACAGTTTCAAAATTTTATAAATAATAACCGGGCAGTAATTAACTCGAGTTCACCTGGTAGACTGTCTATAATGTGTTTATTTTGTTTATCTCATCCTTTCGCACTCTTTTCTTGTTACCAATTTACTACTCCGAGTTCTCCAGATCAACTGTGAAAAGTGGCTACCTGATCTGACAGGATCCTTGTTTGGTCCATGACATCTGATGTTGTCTTTTCTTTGCTCTTCTTTTAATTGTGTCACCTTCATTGTTAGAGAAACCCAAATCTTCCATTTCTTGAAGAAGCTGCTTTATTTCTATCTTTTAGATCTATTTTGGAAATAAAACAGAATTTGTATTTTTTAAAATAAATTATTATTTCTTATATGGAGAGAGGTTAATGGTGAGGCAAATGATTATGCAAAGATGTTCATTACGAAGACCTAAACTGAAAAATAAAATCAGAGTAAAATTTTAGTTAAAACTGGATCTAGCTTGCATGCATATTCAAAAATATCATGTAAGGTTTAACATATTTATGATCAGAGCATTGACCAATGATGTTCTGTTCAGTAGTTCTGCAGGATTTTCTCTTCTAAGAAGAATTTGTTGTATTCACATTTTTGTTTCCTTTGGGATCCCAGACAATGACTCTGTAGTCTGATTCATTAATATTGGTTGTCTTCAGCAGAGAGTATCCAGATTTGACCTGCCAAGTATTAAATTTTTAATGTGTTACTAGTTCTTTCACAGAGTAAGGCTTGTCTTTGTTCTTTGTATTTTTGTACCAGTACAGCTTGAATCAGAGACTTAATTTCTAGTATCACTAAATACGCCTCATTTTCAAAATACATATACAACGCACATATACAACTATAAAAATGTTTATCGATGAAACATACTTCAATATGAATAGCTACCTTTTAAAATATTTGAAATTATGCATTTCCAAATTTATTTTGAAAAGTGCCAGGGGGTGCTACGTGCTATGTACAATAAGTTAATTATTATGCTATTAACATTGATGATGTTGAATGTGTATTAGTTAATGTGTTAATGACGTGTTAATTACTGTACATGTTGTGAAGAACCTTCAGGCTTGTTCTATGATGCAACATGTCAACTTGAACCAGACCAAGTAATCTGCGACGCAGACTGTAACTCTTAAAAATAACACTTGTAAACATAAATTATAAATTAAATTATGCTTTTTATTATCCTTTTTCTTTCTGGTAGAATGAATAAGTAATTCTTCTGCTATCTGCACCTGTTAGAACCTAATACTGTCAGACTCTGTTTTCCCCAAGAGGATTGGAAGAGATTTGTTATGCAATAACTTCCGCTTTGTTTACTCTCTGGCATCTAGTGTATATTTTATATAGATTCATGTGTTTTGCACCCTGAAAGATCCTTCTTTTTTTGTTTACCAGATTAATTTATAATGGAGGACACTCAGTCTTTGTGCAAGCAGGTAAAAAGGGGCCTTGTTCGATTACCACCACTAGTTGATATTAAACTAATCTATCGATATATGTACTTGTGATTCAGTCTATGGCCCTTCAAGCTTGTTGGCCAAATAGTTGAAACTTCAGGAGATCAGTCATAAAAAACTGAATGCCACTTTCTTTTTCTATTTAAAAGGGCCTAGAATTTGCTGCTATTTGAAAACATGGAATAATGCATTTGGTTTTTGCATAAATACTGCTTGAAAATGTCAAATATTCAAATTTCATTACTTCAACTTTTAAATTAATTGTTGCTCACTTCTTATTTGTCAACATTTTTGGAAAATATACCTGATGATAATCTTTAAAAGACTAATTTGGAAAAATATAATAAAATTGTAGAAATATAATAAAATTTATGTTATTCATAAAATATTATTTATTTTTATCCCTCCAAAATCATTTGTCTCATATTAAACAAACCACATTTGTAAAGAATAACTCAAATGAACTAAGAGTCTTGTTGTAGTGAGGATGTTTTTTAAATGACCCAGAGCCAACTCTTAAAAATACAAAAATAGGGCTTCCCTGGTGGCGCAGTGGTTGGGGGTCCGCCTGCCGATTCAGGGGACGTGGGTTCGTGCCCCGGTCTGGGGGGATCCCGCGTGCCGTGGAGCAGCTGGGCCCGTGGGCCGTGGCTGCTGGGCCTGTGCGTCCGGAGCCTGTGCTCCGCGACGGGAGGGGCCGCGGCAGTGAGAGGCCCGCGTACCGCAAATAAATAAATAAATAAAATGAAATAAAATAAAGATGAATGTTCCTTTTAGGCAGTTACTCTATCTTTTAAGTTCTGTTAATATAATATGTACAAAAGGTGGTGAAGAGTTCAGGCTGTAAAGCTAGACTGTCCAGGGTCAAATTCTGGCTCTTTCACTGTCTAGCTGTGTGACTGTGAGCATGGCCTCAGTTTCATGATAATAAAAGTGGGCATAATAATAGTACTTACTTCTTAGGATTGTTAAGATGATTAAATGAGTTAATACAAGTAGAGCACTTTGAGCCAGCTCTGGCACATAGGAAACACTCAATAAATGTGAGGTCTTATTAACCTACCTTTAATATTCTACTGAAAATTATTTGGAAGCATTTAATTGCCACAAGCTCTCCGAATTCCCCGGGACCCATTATGAATGTGAGTTTTTGGTTTTCAGTCATTATAGTCTCGTACCCTATCACAGAGAAACATCTTATTTTTAATGATGATTTTATTACTCCAGTGTTGTGTACATCCACCTGGAGTCATCCCAGGTTTTTTCGTTCATCTAATCTTGTTTGATTTCCTATAGCACAGCTCTTGTTGAGATTTGTATTGGCATAGAAGGGTATTCTGACCAGGACTTTGGTCTCCCTTGCAAATATTTGTGTCTCTCTTGTTTACAGCCCTGATGCCCTCTTGTAATACCCATGCAAAGGGGATTCTAATAAATCTTGTGCTCAGCATTACACATTGTTTGTTTTAGCTGCCTTCCACTTCATGCTTCCTCCTTTAAGAGCGAGCCATTACGAAAGGTTAGATTCACAGTTAGCAGGCTTTAGCTCTCCCTTTTGAATCAGTGAGGTTGCCGTTTTATTGCTCTCCGACTTACACTTCAGTGATGAGAGTAAACTAGCATCAGATTAAAGGTCAGCAAATCCCATCAAAGAGAGGAATATTAGGGGCAGAGATAGTTGGAGAGGCAGCACACCACTGGGTATTGACAGGGTGATTCCAGGGTATCAGTCAGCAGAATTATAGCTGCCCAGAGAGTCAGTACAGCTTTAATGAGCCTGTGTGAAGAGGAAGAGGGTGGATTTATGTAGTTCCTCATAATTTTCTGTAGAGACTGTTATTGCAGACATTCTGTGGAGTGTTCTGGTCTTTCATTTAATTCAAAGGTCCTGGCGCTTATCCATCCTCTAAATTCCTTTTTGTTAGCTCAAATCAAAGTTGACATTTCCATGGTTTACCACCTAAAACACCCAGTTCAAAATCAGGTTTCTTTTACCAATTTTGAAATCGGTATACTGTTAATAAAAATCTACAATCATATTTATATTAATGCATATGTATTTCCTCTTCAGAAAAGTGGGTTGAATAATGAACTTTTTTTTTCATAAGTAGGCAGTGGGGGAAAATGTACATTTACACATTGCCCCCTAAGCAACTGGGGGTAAAAACTGATTGTAATTATGATATGGTGCTTTTCCAAGGATCCTAATGTTCATTCTCCTTAAATTGGCTTTCCTAATTAATTGTTTATATGCCCATTTGCGTATGCCCCATCTCGCTCTTTCTGCCCCCAATACCCCTAAACTGGAAAAAAAAAATTTTAATCTCTGGAGGGGAAATGTTTTTAATTGTTCTAATGAGCAATGCTACGTTTAATTGCTGTAATTTTCAGTCCACCTTGATTTTGATGTCTTTATAGTGAATGTGACACATTAATTTCTTATTAGGGGGGATTAAATCTCTGTAGTATCAAAATCTAGAATATGCTCTGGGAAGTCAAGTGTTTATGAAAAATGTCTGGATATCTTTGCTATAGGTTATTTGCTTAAAGAGTTGATATATAGATAGGTTTTTTTTTTTTTTTAGCTAAGCTTTTATTTATAGGTCACTAGGAAATAGATGGTTTGTGAGAAAATTATCAATAAATTTGCACTATAATGTTTTCTTTTATTAGCCAAGCCAGCCACCTTTTTGTAATTGGTATTTAAGAATATTCCTTTTTGATTATTTATAAGTAAATGAATGCATTATTAACATAGAGGTCTTGTTTGTGTGATTTGCTGCTTGGAAAATGCTTTCAAGCTTCTCTGCCATTGTCCTCTGTATGCCATGTGGGTGGTCGTGCTTTTCAGACACTTCCATGATTTTTAATGGAATAGAGTGATGGATGTGATACGACCATGAGAAGCACAAATATCCTTTTCAAAGTCCACCGTTGACTGAAACATCTATAGTATTTATAGCAAAATGTAAACTCCTTAAGAGAGATGCAATCAGATGACTATTGAGTGAAAATATAGAAGCCTTCTTCAGTCATTAGTTAGATGCTGTATTTATATTAAAGAGCAAGCACACTTAAAAGTAAAATCATGTGGAAAGTGTAGTAAAGTTCATGTTTCCTATAATCATGCCATGCTTCACGAAGCCCTTTCAATAAAACTGAGTCTGTGTCCTTTATAATAATACAAATAAAACTTTATGCTGTGCTGTTACATTGGAATGTACTGAGGATGTCAGTGACCTCCATGCTGTATTTACTAGTATGCTATTTTGAGCAATGCCTGTGCATCAGGATAATTTGGTATTACAAAAACAATAAAGTGGACATTCCTTTCTGCAGAAGGAAAAAGGGAACCCAGTGGATATTTGCTATTCATAATGAAGTCAACTGACTGTAATTTGTATACTCACTTTTGAACATTTTAGAGAAAAGGGAAAGAAGATGGCTGCAGCAGAGGCAAAGGAAATGAATACAAAGATAAGCATGAGATTAATTATCTGATAGAGGCAGGGTTCTTACTGCCATGAGGTATATATGAATGACGTTTACTGATCACCTTAAAGTACACGACTAAGTATTGTATGTATTTTTTAAATTCAACAGGGGTCTATTATTTTCATTTGAAAAAAATTATGAATGAAAAAAGGACCATTTTTCTGAAATGGTACACATTTTTCTCCACAGTGGTAGTTTCTGACCCAAATTTTTTATCATATGTGGATTATATGTATTGTTTTTTAAAATACCACGTATTTAATCTTTGAAATATTTGATTAAAGATTTCCAAAATACTAATTGAGAACATGCCTAACTTTGGTCTAATTTTAACAAAACACTGTGTAGCCAGTTACAACATGGTAATGAGTACATTCGCAGGAAGAAGAGAGTCCTTATTTCAGAACAAATAAACACCATTTGCTTTCCATGTGGTCTTCTGCACATGGCCATCCTCTAGATTTCTGAGCTTATTTGAAGCATGTGGTCAGAGACCACTAATAATGAGCAGCTATCATGAGTGTTTCATCATCAGTATATATCAAAGTGCTATTCTACTGCTGGAAGTGATATGAGAGTAAAAGTAACATAAAAGAGCAAAAGAAGAAAACAGATACTTAGGTCATAAACATTGAGAAAGCAAAAAGAAATAATACTACATATCATTATAATATGTTACAGTAATTGGCGGCACAATCTATGGCAAAGAAATTTTAGTATATAAAATGGAAGATTAAAATAAAAAAGAAACCAACCCAATCAGATTTGACCATGTATTGAACATTATCAGAAATCAGATAAAAGTTGGGACTTCCCTGGTGGTCCAGTGGTTAAGACCCCGCGCTTCCAATGCAGGGGGTGTGGGTTTGATCCCTGGTTGGGGAGCTAAGATCCCACATGCCATGTGGTATGGCCAAAAAACAAAAACAAAAGAAGGTAAAAGTTTTAATTGTAGGACAGATTTGTTTCAGATTACATTTAAGATTGCAAAGCTTCCATATTTTTTTTATATTCATGGCATGCTCTTGGTAATGTTTCATTTTCACAGATGATACTAAAGAATTCTGCAACTAGCTCTTTGACTTTGGGGAATGCAGCATTTTAATAAAACGGATTTCAGTCTGTGATTTAAAGTGAATACCACTATTGTTGTCTAAAGTAATGATTATATGCCAGGTACTATTTTAGGCATTTTACATATTTTATAGCATTTAAACTTCACAATGATTGTTTGAGTTGGTGGTGTCTCTATTTATAGGGAATGAGGAGGACTCGCCTACAATATCATAGCTAACAAGCAATAGAATTAGAATTTGAATCCAGGCTATTCCGACTCCATATTCTCCAGTTTAGTATATTCTCCAGCAGTGCAGCTCATTTGTATTGTATTTGCAAAGTGAATTTAAAATCCAACAGTATAACTTATATCTCTAGATATTTGAGGTAGAGTGGGACCCTGGACTTAGAGGAGGATAATCCTGTATTGGAATCATTGTTTTCACATTTACTAGCCATGTGATCTTGAGCAAGTCACTTACCCTCTTTGAAGTTTGGTTTATAGTATGTAGTATTGGTATGTAGTATATGCTTAATACGTATTGAAATTTGAATATAGAGAATTTTTAGCCTGAGCATTAGAATGATACCCAAGTACTAATAATAGCGTTTTGGATTATCACATTAACAACTGTAAAATAAGAAGTTAAAGGTACCTACATAAGCAACAAAAGGTCAGAAAACATTTGCTTTTCAGCAGGAACATTTTGATTGTGAACTAGGTGTGGGAGGAACTTATCAAAGTCTGGAAGATTCGGTCTTCCAGAAAATAGAGTCGGGGAGGAAGCAGCTGTGTGGAGCGGCACACACGACGCCCTCCGTGTTAGAGGGAGCAGGCGCCACAGTGTAATGTTACCCCATTCACAGTGTGGCAGTGATCTTAACTGACAAGACAGGAAATGAAAATGCCATGGCCATCTCATTCTTTAGGGAAAAAAAAGGCAAGGGAACAGAATGTAGGAATGTGGGAAAAGGAAGGATTGCAATAAGAGTTTGTGTAACAAATACTGAAAAGTCTTGGAAATACACGTAGTAGAAGAGGGCTAATTGGTTTCTGTGCAAGTCCAAATGTGAACCTTTAGCATTTTCTAGTGAGGAGACCCAGGCATGTGGTAAATTTGAAAAAATCATTGGCACATTAGATCATTAGATCACTGGTAACCACACAGAATAGCTAGTCATAAAGACCTGTAGGTATTAAAGCCAGTGTTATTATAATTCTTTTCCTCCACTTAGGTTCTGAAACTCATTGCTTTTCCTTTATATAGCTTTCAAATTTAGCTGTCATATTTACCAGTCCTAAGAATCTCCTCAGCAGAGCATTTTGTGTGAACATCTATCCCTTTAGATAAAAAGAAAATGGCCGTTTCCTTTTTTCCCCCACTTGTAATAATTTCCTTTAAGAACAGAGCACAGGTAACCCTTTGTGCTAATATGCGTGAGAAACATGGCCTGTTTTTTTTTTCATCCTTTTTTCACTGTCTCATGCAAGCACGGCATACTTCATATCTTGCCCTAGCCTTGTTCTCTTTTTCTGTAGCTGACAGTGCTTATATATCAAGCGCTCCAACAAGATGCAGCTCCATTTAACAAAAAAGTGCCTTAAAAATGTAATTCTTCTTTCTGCATTTTTATTGCACAGTCCATCTGCTCCTTCATCTTGGCTGCTCTTCACTTTCACAGTGACAAGCCTCACTCCTTTTTCTTGTCTCTTGAGGCAAGATCTAATTGGCAAGTGGGAAGTCTTCAAAATTTGCCTTTGCCAGCCAACAGTAGTTTCAGATTTTTATGTAAACAGTTGGTT